ATGATTAACAGTTAATATGAATTACATACTACTCCACTTTTAACCTGATTACACCTGAGTTTCCTCTATGCACAATTTGAATTTGAATATACATGTACATTATTTTAACGAAGAGGTCAAAAAGAAAAAAATACCGTTTTCTGAGAGACTCTACTCAATCTGGATACATTTTCTTTGTCTGAGATGGAAACAATCTCCCATATTCAAGACTGCATGGATTTCTTAATTTTTCATTAGAAATGAGAGTTAAAAATATGAATTTTCGTCTTGTTTATCTACAGATGATGTCGCGAAACCTTATTTGACCAAACTAAAGTTATAAAACATCATTAAAGCAGTTTATTTCTTATTATATTTGATAAATCTTTAGGTACCTTTTATTAAATAGATTTTGACAATAATTCGACAATCGTCCTATTTTTTCTAAATACATTACTCCCTTTTAATATTAACTCAAAGTGTATGCGAAGTGATCTTAATCAAGTTTAACGCTATATTATTCTATGAGGAATAAGTAAAATTTTATATACACAGTAAGCACCAGCTATGACGTACGTGAAACGATTCAATTACCCTTTTTCTTCTATCTTCAGCAGTCGCCGAGCGGTAAAACGTTTGCTTCGTGATCGGCAGGCCCGGGTTCAATTCTCGTTATGGGCGCCATGTCATACCTGAGACGTAAACAAAGGTAGTGACTCTTCCTCTCGCCAAGCGCTCAGAAATAGAAAAGTCAAAGGTCAAAGGTTTTTCGGAAATGACCTTTAAAATGTAGGTCCCCTGTCACGGTAGGCGATCGCATGATAAAGAACCCTCACTGCTCAATGGCCCTGAGTGCCGATATAGGTCTACATTTGAAACCCTTCACTCTGTGTGGTTGAAAATCGTAGAATTGGACGTTAAATAATGTACAAACAATTAATCTTCTATGACCCCCCCCCCAAAAAAAAAAACTGTTTTCTAGACGACAGTAAGAAATCTACTTACTGCGTTCATATCTATTTACACTGCATGTAACAACAAATGTAATAGTAGTACAACGAAAAATGATCAATTCCATTTAACATAGTTAGTTTTTAGTGCATTTTCCGGGAAAAATGAATGAATGATTTATATGGAGAACATTTACAGCATTCAAGATCAAAAGTCAATCCAACTATAAAATTATAAAAATTAGAAGCAAACAAAACATGAACTTTTAAAAACAACAGAGTCAGGATGAGGTCGAGTGAGCATCCCCTACCGGTCAGACCCGCCGTATACGTCATAAACGGGAAATAACAAAAAATGTAATGAGTCCAATTGTGATAATAGCCTAATATTTTGTATGATAAACGTCTCTGTATTTCCAGAAAATATCATTGTTTCGACCATAGAACGTGTAATGTTGTGACCTTGAACGAAACACTAAAAGCTGGAAAATTTTGTTTCATTTATATATATATATATATACCCGGTATCCAAACACAAGCTGATTTAGTTATAAACAGATAGGGGAGCTGATTGTAAAGTTATGGTCATCACGTTTAATTTAAGAACATAATCTTCGTTGTAAAGTTGCAATCAACGTCTTTTTATAGTAAAATATCAAAAAATTAAACTATCCATCATATGTATGTTTTTTTTCAGTGTTGTATCATATTTCCTTATTTAATTTTATTTGTGCATTTTACAATATCAATATCCTTGGCTTCGTTAAAATGTAATCGATAAAAGGAACAAAATATTCATGACAACGTTTAAAAACATTTTTCTGAAAAATGTTTTTAAAATGATGACTCAAAGTTTTGTGATATTTTTGTAATGTCATAAAAGGAAGTATACGATTGATTTTAATGAAACTAGTTCCATTATGCAAGTATCCAGTACACAAAACGACAAAATATTACATGCAATTGACATGTTCATTTTTTCATAGATTGCACCATCTGTTGATGCATTTTGTGAATTTTAAGAGGTTTAAATATGAATGCTCATGATCTTGCCCTTACTATAAAAAGTTGATTGACTTGCAAACTGTTAACATTTAATGTAACAGTTGTTCATGCATTTTTGAATTTAAAAAAGAAAATAATTCATATTTGTGTTGTTTTCATGATCTTTCCATCAAGAATGACAAGATATTTTGCACTTGTTTGTCATATGATCTCCATATGCATTCAAAGAGATGGAGTAACAAGTTGTCAAATTGGGTAAGACTTTTATTTTTATTTTTTCAAATTGATTTAAATTTAAAAAAAAAAATGTTTCATTAAAAGGAAAATTTTAAACTTCGTTTTTTAGGCGCATACAGAATGGATCAGTTTCATGCTGTCTTAATTATTTCAGAGATGGAAATGACTGTAGAAGTTGTATACAATACGGAATTATTTAATTAGTATAAATTATTTTGTGTGAGAAATGACAAATATATGCAAAGTATATAATGTACAATGTATAGAAGATTTAAAAAAGGTTCTTAAATGAAGACGTAGTTTACTTTTCAGAATGTCCTTCCGGATACTTTGGATTAAATTTTTCTGAAATTTGTCCTGAATCATATTATGGATCCTTTTGTCGTCTGACATGTGTTAACTGTACGAACTGTAATCATATATATGGTTGTACACAATCAACAGGTAATCATATAAAATATTTGACAATTTTAATTGAAAATTCATTGACATCAATTATTTATAAGTAAATTTATTGAGATATGTTTAAGTACTTATGCTGTACATTTTAATGGATACTATTTCATATTATTAGAGCCTATTAAATCAGACGTCTCTAGGAAAGGAAGTCCTGGCACTATAGCAACGATTGATATCATGTCGTCCATGTCATCAATTAACACATCAGATTTACTTGAAAAAGAAAATTCCAGTGTATTATCTTTCAATGGTAATAAGACTCCTCCTGAATATCATCTTACAATAATTATCTTTATAACCGGATCACTTACTAGTATATCTTTTTTGATTCTACTGATAATTGTGAGAGAAATAAATAAATTTTCCGAGATATCGTCTCCTCCCACAAATACAAACAAGCCACATAAAAGAGGTGTGGAAGAAAACATATATTCAGAGGTTTCAGACGTCATTGATTGTGCCACTCCACGTAAAGAATTGCCTCATCTATGTTAAACGTGAATTGTAATGATCAGGATGGAGTTTCCGAAATCGTAGAGGGTGGATATAAAGACTGTATTTATAGCTCTGTATCTTTACAAATATCTAGGTTTCAGGCCGACAATACTTTAGGCCTATATACTAATAAGGAGAAAATAACATTTATAAATAATAGCCCAAACCAACAAAGTGAAGTTTATTTTCATCAAATCGCCACAAAGGAAACCAACAAAGAAATCTTTTCTCCTGAGTCTGTCTGTGCAGAGCTCCACAGAGTTTAACAAAAGGGAACTAGAGATAGCTGTGAGCGACTCCAGTTAAGATGCTTGTCCAACATTGTCCAATTTGGTAAATGAAACAACAGAGACAAAATCTTCTTGATGAAATATTTCCCCATACCTGTTGACATTTCATTTAATGTCTCTCTCTTTTTGTGAAATATATATATTGTTTTTTGCACCTATTTTATTTTCATTTGAGTGTGGTGGAATGAAAATTTCTCTCTTAATTTAAACCAGACACATTCGAAAATCAAGCAAACAGCCAAAATCATTTACATTAAAAGCTCTTTTTCTTCAATACATTTATAAGACATCCTTAAAATTTCTGAATGTAAAACAAAAAAATCTCCGAGAGATAGACCTTATTTGGTCATACGACTGAAATGCGAGTTGTTAAAGGTAGTCTTTACCCTAATTTTTGCTTAAAGGATCAACTTGTTAAAAATGGTTAATGAACAAACAATAATATACTGAGTATAACATATAATTTGAAGGGGAAAAGTTTAGGGTTTTTTGCCGGTACGACATAAAAAGCAAAGGTTATAATTTTGATTTTTTCTCAAACCATGAGGTTTTATATAGAATTGCGTGTAAGGTTTGTTTGTTTGTTTTTTTTTAAAGGTACGTAACAAATACACGACGCATGTATGTAAGAGAAGTTCGCAACTGCATGTGTTGTCTGTGGGCTTGATATGAATCTGAGTATATTTATTTCTACTGGGATACATTTTACTATTCGATAAAATATTCAATATTAAAAGAAGATATTTTTTACACAAATGTCCTTTATACTAAATAATAAATAGAACATGCACGTTTTTATTATTTAGAAACATTTTTGCAATTATAAGTTCCGATTTTGATTTAGAAAAAAATTATAATAATATTAAAAAGCAAATTTATAACTATGAGTTGTGAGGATTCTTTTTTGTTAACAACAATGAATTAAACATGAAATTCTTATTATAAATACATTCTCTCAAAAATTAACCCAAATTTTACGTTTTCATGGAGCTTGTCTGTCATGTTAGTATATTTCCATTGCAAAATGAATAGTATATGTTTTGTTTGCTTACTGTTGTCATGTTTTCTTATTTGTTGATGTCCAAAGTATTCATAGAATCAATCCCCTTTGTGTTCTTAATAATAGCTTGGCGTTGATTAAATTTAATTGGATAAATAAAATGATATATGTAAGAAGATCTTCAGAAACATTTCATAATTTCCTTAAAAACATTTTGTCTTGATAAATTCTAACAAGTCGTTTGTTTGTTGTTAAAAATCCCTCTCGAGATTTCCACTCATTATATAGAGACGCCACCACTTGCATTTCCCGATTGAGAGCTGCAAACCTTAATCTGGACTCGGCACTAACGGCCATTGAGCATTAAGGCATTTTTTCGAGCACGAACTTACTCCAACGACCGAACTCTACGTCCCACAGTCAAATTCGAACACGCAACTTCGTACGCCGCAAATCTAAAGCAGACAGTCTAACAAAATGGGCGACAACAAGTTGTAAAAGGAAGTAAACCATAAAATTTATATGGAACTTTAATCCTTTATGTGCAGGAAATTTTACTATAAAAAGGTAATTAAGAGGCAAACTTTTAGCATTGGATGTAACAGTTGTTCATGCAGTTTAAAATCAAGAATGATAAAATATTTTGCGCTTGTCTGTCATATGATTTCCATCTGCTCACTAAGAAATGTAGAAAGTTGTCAAAATTCGTAAGTTTTTTACATTTATTTTTCAATTTATTCTATAATTGAATTATTTTTTTCTTAAACGAAGAGTATAAACAAATATTTTAGGCTGAAAGACGATGGATCAGGGGAGTGCTGTACGAACTTTTTCAGGGATGGGAATATCTGTAAAGGTTCTATGCAAAACTTGATTTAGTTGAAAAATAATCAAATCTTAATAATTTGGGCAGGAAATAAAAATATGCAACATATGGTACGATTTTATAATAAAAATTGACAAACTTTCCCCAAACAATATATGAGAAAATTTGTAAAGTTCCTAAAATAAGGAAGTAGTTTACTTTTCAGAATGTCCACGCGGATACTTCGGATTTAACTGTTCTGAAATTTGTCCTGAACTATATTATGGACCCTTATGTAGTCTGAAATGCGGTAACTGTACAAACTGTAACCATGTATATGGTTGTACACTATCAACAGGTAAGCATATCGAGAATTTTATTTTTTACTTTGAAACTTCATATGCAGCTACTTAATAAGGTGAATGTTTGATACATTTACGAGAATTATTGAGAAACATTTTAGTATAGTACTTATGACGCACATTTGTAATACACTGTGTTTCATATTATTAGAGCCTATTAAATCAGATGTGTCAAGAAAAGGAAGTTCTAACACAAGACCTGCTATTTCTATCATGTCGACCATGGCAGCAGTCCATACAACAGATGTACCTGAAAATCAAAGTTCCATCACAGTATTGATAGGTGGTAACAAGACTGAAAATGAAAGTTCTAGTCTAGTATTTTTAAATGGTCCTCCTAAATTGAATATTGCAATAATTATCTATACAAGCGGATCACTTATATCTTTTATAATTCTACTGATAATTGTGAGAGAAATACGACTTTTTTGCAAGACATCGGCTCCTCCCACAATTAAAAACAAGTCACACAACAGTGATTTCGTAGAAAACATATTTTCTCAGGTTTCTGATGTTATTGATGACATCATTTTACGTGAAGAGATTGACCCATCTATGTTAAATGTAAATAGTTATGACAAAGATGGAGCGTCCAAAAACTCAGAGGGTGACTGTAAAGGCTGTATTTATAGCACTATATTTAGAGAGAAGGAAGAGACTGACGAACCAACATTATCTTTACAAACATCTTGGTTTGAGGCCAGCAATACTTTAGGCCTATGTACAAATAAGGAAAAAACAACGTTTAAAAATGATTATTCTGACCAACAACATGAAATTGCTTTTCATCAATCCTCCGCAAGTGAGAAACACAGAGAAATTTTATCATCAGAGTGTTTGCAAACCTCTTCAGAATTTAACGGAAGAGATTTAGAGATAGCTATGAGCGAAAGAAATCAGGATACTAGTCCATTTGTCCAATTTGTATTGGTAAATGAAACAACAGAAATAACGCCTCTTTGATGTCATGTTCCCCACCTACTGACATTCATTGTATTCCTTTCCCTTTTGGTGACAGACATTAAGATGTTATTTTGACCAGATGTATAATTGTTTGAGTATGGTTGAATAAAAATTTCTCTATAATTTTAAACAAGAGTCACTCGAACGTTGTAACCAAACAAACAAGATTATCTACATCCGTAAAAATCTTTAAATTTTCTCAATTTGTAATAAAACAGCTTTAAGATGTTTGTTTATGAAAACACAGTAAAAACGTACAACATACTAGTAAATGAAGAAATAAATAAAATGCAAAGACATTTTTTTCTCTAATATAATTGATTGAACATGTAACAACCAGTAAGCATATTTCTATAGTGATTATATTTTATGTTTTGGTAGTCAAATTTTGTCACTTTATCTTGTAAATGATGTTTAAAGTATCCATAATATTAATGTCTAATGTATCCTTTGTTAAAAGCTCAATAGTTAATTAAATTAAATGATATATATTACAACCTATTTATAAACATATAGAGTTTCTTTTAAAAAAGTGTAGTAGATATTTGTCGGTATATTTTGACACGCTGTAAAAGGAATTAAATCATTGATTTATTTTAAGCCTTTATCCTCTATGAGCAGGACGAAATTTTACTAGAAAAATTTTATTGAAATGCCAAAATTTAGCCATGGAAGTAAAAGTTGTTCATGCGTTTTTGAATTTAAAAGTAAAGCGAAGCTAATAATTGTGTTTATTTAATGATCCTTCATTAAGAATAAGTCGCCCGCGTGGTGCAGTGGTTAGAGTGTCTGCTCTAGAGTCGCGAAGTAAGGAGTCCTTACATCGCGGTTCGAATCCCACTGTGGGACGTTGAGAACGGTCTTTCGGATGAGACCGAATAAACCGAGCTCCCGTTTCGCAGTAGGTGTTGGCACGAACAAGATCAGTGCATATTAAACCAGACTATAGCGCTAGCTTTGCAATTCTATAATGTGTTCCATGTCATCAAATAATACATCAGACGTGTTTGAAAATGGATGTTCCATCATAGTGTTTATAGATGGACTCATAGGTTTTATATCTCTAACATTACTATTAATCCGGATCAGTAATACCCATTGTAACTCTCTACTAACATGAATAATAAATTCATATCTACTGCAAGATAGCATCTCAGCCAACAAGGATACATAATTGAGCGCAAAACAACATAGAGGTCTCTGACTTCCTTGATGTGATCATTTCAGGTAAAGAGATTGCCTCATTTAAGTTAAAGGTTATAACTAAATTTAATGTCAATGCTGGAATTTTTGAGCTCTTGGAGGATAACTATAATTAATGAACATGTATTCATAGTGTTGTTTGCAAAGAGATAGAAGGGACTTGTGAACAATAGAAAAGTTCGATGCAGAAAATACTTAAGGTCTATGTACTTACAATGAAGAAAACATTTATAAAAAATTGAACTAAGTAAGATTAGTTTTCCCCAAATCTCTACAAAGGATAATAAAGAAGAAAGCATTTTCTTGAGTTTTTTCCGAGCTCCAGAGAAATCAACAAAAGTGAAATAGTGGTAGGTATAAACAGTATTCATGGGAATAATATTCAAACATGTGCATGTTATTGATTGTTTTTGTCGTGTTGATGTGCAACAAAAGACGATCTTCTGTAGCTGGTGAAGGACTTTTCTTCTTCGCTGAATTTAGGGCATAGTGTATACAGGGAAATTTTCGCCCCCGTTTTATTTTCGCCCCTTTCGCCCTACCCTCATTTGGGCGAATTTAAAACGGGGCTAATTCAAAGAATACAATAGTAATTCTTAAACAAAAGTATGACAGGGCGAATTTAAAACGGGGCAAAATTGTTTGCAAGTGTGAAAGGGGAAAAATAAGACGGGGCGAAAATAACCCTGTATACAGTAGTTCTACATCTGCAAGTAATGCTTCAAACTGCATACTTGTATGCAAATACATTCATGTTACGTCATAGGTGACCATTGTACATTCTGAATCTCTCACATATCTTATTAATTGCTACCGGACAATAAGTTCAATAATTGCTGTATTCTTACTGATTATCATAATACAATACATACCCAAAAACAATTGATACTGGACCAGCTACTGTTACAGGAACTGAGTACGTTGATTTAATAGATGTCGTGATCGATCACAATGTATTGATATCAATATCTCCTACCTACCTTACATCATGTATAAAATGTCTTTATAGAGATAAATTTGACAACACTAAGATCTTCAATGAAAGAAGTTAGTTATAATAGTTATACAGAGGTTTAATTCTTCCATTGAGCTTTTCAGTCATGTTAGTCAGCAAACAGGTATTGCAAAATGAATAGTATGTGTTTTCTTTGCATACTGTTATTATGTTTTCCTTATTTATAGAGCTCAACGTATTCTTGGCATTACTTAGACATCAATGCAATTGGTTGCACGTAACAACGCCCTCAAAAACATGTAATTCCGTTAAAATTGTTGAAAATGTTGTCTATGGGCGGCGAAAAGGGTAAAAAAAGACGTTATGCAAAACAAACAACTAATTTTATAAACATAATGAAACACAAAACAGACAACCTAAACAACAAAATCAATAGACTCGTTTGCAAAATCAACAGACTCCGATGCAAAACCAACGATCACCAATGCAAAACGAACAATTATTCAAGGAATTGTCGCTAGATGGCGTGCAAAAACATGCATTACCTGAATTAACGCTAGTTTTTCTACGTCATCTTTGTTGTGTACTTTCATAGGACCGTAAATCTGCTAAATTCGCTTATTTGAATAGGGGTCAGAGTTTTGGGGGGTGGGGCTGGGGGTCCATGGTCATTTAAAGTTTAAAGTAAACTTGGTCAAGTGTAAAAAAAAAAAACAACTCTGCAAAATCCTAGGGGGTTGGGGGGGGCAACGCCCCCTTTAGATCCGTGCATATATATCTATATTATTGAAAACTGTGTAATTATTGGGCAATACATGTAGTTTGATAAATTATTTTTTACTAATTGTCTAACATATTAACCATATTTTGGCATAATACATGTACTTCCTAAATCAATCTGATTAAAATCAGATCATTTGATCCGCTCACATAGAATGCTACACAAGTTTTTAAGAATGTAAATAGAATTTGTTTTTCTTTCAAAAATTTTCTCTTGGGGAAAAAAAAATATCTGCTACTGGTTTGTTGAAATATATTTACAGTCGTTTGTAGATGTCTTGCTGCCTCTAATATGTTTGAATTTTGAGAGAGTCGAAATGATGCTATTTTCCGAGGACTGCCAAATAGATGTTGATAGACCATTTCGCAGGATTTGGACCCGGACCACAATAAGCTTACATATAGACTTATATAGTAAAAACATAATATGTTTTGCTTTCTTTGTAACTATTTAAAAAAGATTCATTTCCAAAATACCCAGTATTTTTTACCACATGATAGAGCACTGTGTCTGATAAATATTCACATTAAAAATAGGGGGTTTATAATGTGGTTATCCCAGGTTATCAATAAACCTAGCCCTCTGACGTCATGACCTCAGAATAGCTCCTGCTTGGCTTAAAAAAGTGTAAATAAACCAAACGACCTCTCATTTCAATACATATTTCTATGCATTATTTATGCTTGAAATGTAACTTGATGCATATCATTGCTCTAAACTTTGGAAATTAAACTTTTATTCTATACCCTGAAAGTATCACAAACATGTGACCTGTTTTTATTTTCATCATCGAAAAGGAGGTATGTGGATTTCATGCATGTGCTATATTTCAGCCTTTTGACTTCACCGTTAAAAACTTGCGCGCCATCAAGCGTAAATTCAGGTCATGGATGTTTTTTGCACGCCATCTAGCGACAATTCTGTGAATAATCGTTGATTTTGCATTGGTAATCGTTGGTTTTGCATCGGAGTCTGTTGATTTTGCAAACAAGTCTGTTGATTTCGTTTTTAAGGCTGTCTGTTTTGTATTTCATTATGTTTATAAAATTAGTTGTTAGTTTTGCATAAACGTTTTTTTTACCCTTTCCGCCGCCCATAATTATCGATATTTTCTCTTGCAGGTCGTTTATTGTCAAGATTCTGACTCATGATATTGAGACACTACCACTTGTATTTCCCGATTATGAGTTGCAAACCTTGTCCTTTACATTGCACTTACGGCCATTGAGCGGTATCTGTAAGGGATCTTTTTTGTGCCAGCACTTACTGCGACGACCGTTCTTCACTTTCCATATTCGGATTTGAACCCGCGAATTAAAGATCAACTTTGTACTCTGCAAGTCTAGAGCGACAATCTAACCAATGCTCCACGTTGGCGACTACAAGTTGTAAAAGGAAGTAAATTATTAATATACATTAAACTTTAATCCTTCATGTGCAGGAAATTTAACTATAAAAAGCTAATTGACATGCAAACTTAGCTATAGCATTGGAATTAAATGCATTTTTTTTAAATCAAGAATGACAAGATATTTTGCACTGGTTTTTCATATAATCAACATTTGCACACAACGAAATGGCGTAAAAAGTTGTCGAAATACGTAAGTTTTTTGCATTAATTATTCAATTTATTCTAAATTTAAAATATTTTTTTCATATAAGGAGTAGTTCGAAGAGTATAAACTGGTATAATTTTAGGCTCGAGAAAAATGGATCAGAAGCGTGCTGTTTTAACTTTTACAGGGATGGGGATATCTGCAAAGGTTGTATGCAATGCTTGATTCACCTGATAAATTATTAAATCTGAATTCATTTGCATAATATGCAACGTAACTAACGCTTTTATTGTGAAAATTGAAAAAACACTTCACACAATGTATGAGAAAACTTACTTAATTACTAGTCAAAATAAAGAAGCAATCTAATTTTCAGACTGTCCACCCGGATACTTCGGATCTAATTGCTCTCTTATTTGTCCTGAACCATATTATGGACACTTTTGTGGTCTAAAATGCAGAAACTGTACAATTTGTCATCACATATACGGCTGTACACAATCTACAGGTAATCTTGTGTTATATTTTACTTTCTCCATCAAAATTTTATTTTTATTAACAAAATTAGGATAAGATTAACACAATAACAATGTTTAGTACTTAAGTTGGTCATTTTAATTCAATATAATTTGTCTTTTTAGAGCAAATTAAATCAGACGTCCTAAGAAAAGGAAGTTCTACTATTAGACCTGTAACTGCTATCAAGCCGTTCTTGCCTTCAAATAACACATCAGAAGTAATTGAAAGTTCCAGCATGGTATCTCTGTATGGTAACAAGACTCCTCCCAAGTCTAACCTTGCAATAATTATCTATACAACAGGATCACTAATATCTTTTCTTATTCTACTGATAATTGTGAGAGAAATACTTAACTTTTACAAGTTATCAGTTTCTCCAACAAATGAAAAGAAGCCACACAACAGTGATGTCGAAGACAACATATATTCAGAAGTTTCTGACGTTATTGATTGCGTAATTTCACGTAGAGATATTACTTCCTCTATGTTCAACGTAAATAGTAATGAACAGGATGGCGTTTCCGAAATCTTAGAAGGTGACAGTAAAGACTGTACTTATAGCACTGTATTTAGAGAGAAAGAAGAGACTGGCGAACCGAAATTATCTTTACAAACATCTGGGTTAGAGGCGAGAAATTCCTTAGACTTATGTGCTAATAAGGAAAACATAACGTTTATAAATGATTGCCCTGACCAACATAATGAAATTAATTTGCATCAAATCTCCACAAAGGAAAGCAATGAAGAAATCATTTCTCCAGAGTCTTTGCAGAGCTCTACAGAATTTAAGGGAAGAAAAATAGAGATATCTATGAGCGACTCCAGTCAGGATACTAGACTGAGTCCAACATTTGTCCAATTAGTATTGGTAAATGAAACCACGGAGACAACACCTCGCAGCACTGTTAAGGCCTACTATGAGAAATCAACGGAAAATAGACGAGCAAAAAAAGGGGGACCTTTTTAAAACTGAATTTATTTTAATTTAGCTGTTTTATTATCACAAAACAAATACTTATTGAAAAAGCATAGTATAACCCACTCTGTACTGTATGAAGTTTGGTCCCATCGATGGACAGTCACGTGATGAATGCATAGTTTGTGTACTGAATGTAGGTCATGAACAAATTTCAATATCGCAAGGGCATACCCTAGTTGAAATTAAAAATTCAAGTTATTATTTGTATCTGCATACTTTGTAGTTTGGGAAAAGTGCTGCTGCTTTGAATATATTTCGCGTTTCAATAGTTAAATTTTCAGGTAAATAAGCTAATGTCGAAATATGTTTGACTTTTACCAAATATTTTGTGTACTTTTAAAATCACGCCATCGATTTAAAGAAAGCAGCAGCACTTTTCAAGTTAAGAAAAATATCCTTTATCTATATTCAAAAAATGGTTAAGATCTATGAAGTGTATGCCCTTGCGAAAGTGCGATTTTATGAGGCATCTCGATGCAAAATATACGTAACATGTACATAAAAACACGATATAATTAATTAAACACATTCTCTTGATAATTAATTAATAATCGCAAAAAACAGAGGATATGCATTGGTATTAATCGACTATTTAAAACCTGTAAATAATATTTCGTTTAATAATAAAACACATTTTTCATTATTAAAAAATTCCTCAATCTGCCTCTCACAGCACATGAAATACGTCATTTTTACCAAAATGACGTCACGTTTACAAGTTCATGTCGATCAGTGCTTTGTCTATAACAAGCTACATGGGACTTAATTAGCAAGTTTTTCAGATACATTGATAAGTTTAATTGTTGTTTATTATGCGAATACAGTTAAAATTTGCAAACTATTTCATTTTCAGGTACAATGAGAAATACATAAAAATCATATTTTGTGTGACGTCACAGTAAACTTTTCCCATATAATTAGGCCCCGCACCCTTATTCAAGCCTTAACAATGCTGTGCTCTTTAATGTTAAGATTCTACAATCTATTGACATGTCATTAAATCTCTAGTTGAAGGGTACATGTTGTCATTTTTACCTTTTGTATTGATCTATGCGAGTAAAGGGATGACATTTCCCGTCTTACTTAAAAATGTTAAATTCTTCCAGGTTTATGACTCATTTTTTATTTCCATATTTTTTAACGGCATTTTTCCAAAATAAAAAAAAACCACTTAAATATAAAAAAGGAAGAAAATCCTAAACATGTTAAGATAAGTAGTCCTAATCACGTGACGCATAGTGGGTACAGCATTTCAAACCTTCATCTTTATAATAATTTCAAATCTCAACTTTTAGACCTTCTACTCATAAGTCTCGATAAATTATTCTAGTAATTTAAATGATGTTAATATTTTCTCCTTGGAAACATAGCTTTCTTACCAGAGGGTTGAATTACTAAATGCATATGACACATGAAGATTTATGGAATAAGGGAATACGATTTGACAGAAGGCCGGTGCTTTATTCAGCTAAAGAGGATACTTTCGGAGGTTAAAGGATTATAAAATCTTAATATGAATTACATACTACTCCACTTTTAACCTGATGACACCTGTGTTTTCTTCTTTGCACAATTTGAATAAATACTTTAGATGAACTATTGAGCTTTAATACAGTTTTTTTATATTCATAACAAAAATGCTAATTTTTTGTAAACTTCAACTTTTTTTTTCACCGTGAAGAGCTAGCGTGCACGTCTTTAAATGTAGAAACTTTTCCCAATAGCTTTCTGATAAATTCTTCATAATATTGAATGCAAAAGTGTCTTAACAAAAATGATCTCTTTGTTTAGTTATCAAATGAAGTTAGATATAATTATAATTAAGTAATTGATCAAAATTGAAATCTTATCTACAGAATTTGTTTTACGTTGGATTTCATACATACTGGTATGCATGATAGAGAACGTAATTTAAGAAAAAGTGGAGAAAACTCTACCAATGTTCTAATCTTACTTTGTTTGATAAACACCAAGAAAAGTCCAGATTTGGATAAAGTTTAATAATATTTAACCAGATACATAAAAAATGATACAACTGTTAAAGACTCTGATACTAGTAATTAGTCTCTGAGACTTAAGGTCAAGATCTTGTACATGACTTTAGACAAACTAACTTTGGTGCTAGATCTTTTATGACGTCATAATCACTTTCAACTTTCTTTTTTCTGATAGAATTATGAAGAAAATAAAGTATTTTAAATAATTCAATTTGATCATACGTTATAAGATATGTACGAGTACATTCAAATCAAATTCAGAGTTGGCGTAAGACAGGAACACATCTAATGCCAATAATAAGATATGAATGATCGAAAGAATGTTACATGTACTAGCTTTATTTAACTTTATTTAATTTAAGAATGTTTAAAGTATTCATAGTGTAATATTTGTTGCATGTTTGGTGTTGTTAAAGCACAATCGGTTAATTTAAATGATACAAGTTATATTTTTAAGGACAATTTTAATCAAAAGATACTTAAGAATGTCGAAAAAAAATTATCGTTGTATTTTTCTGATAAATTGTGAAAGGAAGTAATTCATTGATTTTATATACAGGAAATTTTTCTATAAAATGTTGATTGTTAACTAATCATATAGGAAGTGCATGTAAGAGTTGTTTATACATTTTTATATTTAAAAAGGAGAGCAAAGCGAATGATTGTGTTGGCTTCGTAATCCTACTATCGAGAATGGCATGGAGATATTTTGTTTTTGTTTGTCATATGGTTATCTATTGTATTCAAGGAAATGAGAAAGACATTTGTTCAAATCCGTAAGATATCTTTTTTTTATTTTTAAGTTTATTTTAAAATTGAGATAAGTGTGTCATAAAAGCAAAGTTTATCCTTAGACTACTTTTAGACTCAACGACGATGGATCAGGGGCATGCTGTTTAAACTTTTACAGGGATGGGGATGTCTGTAAAGGTTGTATGCAATACTTGATTTAGCTGATTATTTATCAAATTTTTATGGATCAGTTATATGCTGTCTTATATATGCTTTCTGTATAGATTGAATACAATATTTGATTAAGCAATTAAGATAATCTAATTACTTCGTGAAAGAAATGAGAAATGTATGCAACGTCCGTATTTTATAGTAGAATTTGACATAATGTTCTCAAACAATGTATGAGAACATTTACAAAGGTTCTGAAATTAATAAGCAGTTTACTTTTCAGAATGTCCACCCGGATACTTTGGATTTAATTGTTCTCACCCTTGTCCTGAACAGAGTTATGGACACTTATGTAGTCTGAAATGTACTAACTGTACAACCTGTAATCATGTATATGGTTGTGCACCGGCAACAGGTAAACCTATGAAATATTTGACATTTTTTCATTGAAAATTCATTTACAGTTATTCAATTAGTACGTAAATCATTAACGCAGTAAAGAAAATTGTTTATGCTGTACATTTTAATACATACAGTTTCATTTTATTAGAGCATATTAAATCAGACGTCTCTAAAAAAGGAAGTTGTAGCACTAGACCTGTAGCTGTTATCTCGTCGTCCATGCCATTAATAAACACATCAGATGTCCTTGTAAATAAAAGTTCCATCATGGTATCGATATTTGGTGACAAGACTGAAAATGAAAGTTCTAGTCTAGTATCTTTAAATGATAATAACACACCTCCTAGATTTTATCTTGCAATAATCATCTATACAACCGGATCACTTATATCTTTTGTAGTTGTACTAATAATTATGAGAGAAATACGTAATATTTGCCAGATGTCCTCTCCCACAATCAAAAACAAGCCACACAACAGTGGGTTCGTAGAAAACATATATTTTGAAGTTGCTGATGTTATTGATGACATTATTTCACGTGAAGAGATTGCCTCATCTATGTTAAACATAAATAGTTATGCCAAAGATGGAGCTTCCAAAAAATCAGAGGGTGACTGTAAAGACTATATTTATAGCACTGTATTTAGTGAGAAGGAAGAGACTGCCAAACCAAAATTATCTTTACAAACACCTAGGTTTGAGGCTAGCAATACCTTAGGCATATGTACTAATAAGAAAAAAAATGTTAATAAATGATTGCCCTGACCAGCAAAATGAAATTACTTTTCATCAAATTTCTACAAAAGAAAACAACAAAGAAATCATATCTTTAGAGTCTTTGCAGAGCTCTACTGAATTTAATGGAAAAGAAATAGAGGTATCAATGAGCGACACCAGTCAGGATACTTATCCATATGTCTAATTTGTATTGGTAAATGAATCAACAGGGACAACACCTCTTTAATGTTGTTTCTCACCTACTGATATTTTATTGAATTTCTTTCTCGTTTTGTTGAAAAATATTATGTTGATGCTTTTATTTGATATTACATTGTAAATTGTTTGAGTATGATGGAATGAAAATTTATCTATAACCTGAAAAGAGACACAGTCGAAATTTTGATGAAACCATAAAAAATTATCTACAGTTTTAATATGCTTTAATTTTTCTGAATGTGTTCTGAAACATCTTTCAGAAAATCATTTAAATAAAAATAAAAACATTCCACTGTATTTAACGGAAGAGAAATAGAGGTAACAATGAGCGACACCAGTCAGGATACTTGTCCATTTGTTGAATTTGTACTGGTAAATGAATCAACAGAGACAACACCTCTTTAATGTTATGTTCCTCACCTACTGACATGTTTTAATTGTTTGAGTATAGTGGAATGACATTTTCTCTATAACTTGAAACGAGACAGAGACAAAATTTAAACAAAACAGCCAAAATTATCCACAGTAGTAATAATCTTTAATTTTCTGAATGTATTTAACAAAATCTTTAAGAATCTTTAAAAAATCTTTAAGAAAAACCTTAAATAAAAGGAAAACTCCCCCGAGAGATCGACAGTCCTTATTTGTCATGTGATTAAATGATTTGTCATGTGATGAAGGCTAATTAAATGTAAATTTAATGCATAAGAAATTTCATTTGTACAAACTTGCATCCCCTTCACCCAAGGATAGTCTGTAGCAAGTTTGGTTCTTGAGAAGAAGATGAAATTGTGAAAAGTTTACAACGACGACAACGACGACGACAACGACGACAACAACGACGACAGACAACGGACAAATTTTTATCAGAAAAGCTCACTTGAGCCTTTGGCTCAGGTGAGCTAAAAAAGGGAGATGATCCTAAACATATTTAAGATTGGCAGTAATATTAAGTGACGCACTGTGGGTCCAGCATTTCAAACCTTCATCTTAATAATAATTTATTTCTCAAATTTTAGACCTTCTACTCATAAGTCTCGAAAATTAATTCTTATAATTTAAATAATATCAGTATTTTCTCCTTGGATACGACATTAAAAACATAGGTCCAGCGTCACAGGAGACGATAAAGAACCTTCATTGCTCAATAGGCCTGAGTACCGCGTAAAGGTATAAATTTAAAGCTCTTCACTCTAATTGTCGAATGGGCCGTTAAACAATATACAATCAATCAATCCTCTATCTTCCCTTAACTGTTTTCATGGACAACAGAACGAAATTTACTGACTGCGGTCATATCTATTTAAAGGTACTTGGACACAGACCTGAAGTTATTTTTTTCTGTATAATATCACGAATTATATATTTTTATAGCATTTCACACAAAATTAATTAAAAATCTTATTTCATTTAAAAGTTATTAAAACTTTTAATTTTAAAAAAATTAAAATGTTTATAACTTTTAAATGAAATAAGATTTTTAATTAATTTTTGTGTGAAATGCTATTAAAATATATAAGTTGTAATATTATAGAAAAAATATTAACTTCAAATCTGTGTCCAAGTACCTTTAAGATATGAAGCAACAAATGTAACAGTATTTAATCGAAAAATGATCAATTCCATAAAAATATCAGTTAGTTTTGCAGTGCATTTTCCGGGAGAATTACATGGCCTTTGAAAGCAACAGAGTCAGGATGAAGTACTGAGAGGAATGAGCATCCCCTACCGGTCACGCCGTGTACTTCTTGTCACGAACTGGATAAACAAAAAATACGTTGTCAGTCCAATGGTGATAATAGCCTAAAATAAAGTATTAAAAACGTCTCTGTATTATCAAAAAATATTGAATTAAGCAAACAAATTTTATTGACGAAGTCAAAAGGGTCGGACACATGTTTAAAAATTTAGATAATTTTCTCCTAATATAACATTTTGTAACAGAGCCTAAAAACCCCCAAAATTTAGACAAAAAGCATATATGTACATAAATACATAAAATATCATTGTTTCGACCTTAGAATGTGCGATGTTGTGACTTAAACAAAACCCATAAAGCTTGATAATTTAATTTATTTGAATGAAACAATGTTTGCAAACATAAACTGATTTAGATATACATAGATAGGAAAGTTGATTGTAAATTTGAAGTCATTTAATTTTATATCATTTAGCTTCCTTTCAAGGTTGCCATCAATGTCTTTATGTAAAATATCAAAAATTAAGCTTCCCATTATTTGCGTGACAACGTTTAAAAACATTTTGAAAAAAAGTTTTTAATATATATATATATATATATATATATATATATATATATATATATATATATATATATATATATATATATATATATATATATATATATATATATATATATATATATATATATATATATATATATATATATATATATATATATATATATATATATATATATATATATATATATATATATATATATATATATATATATATATATATATATATGTTTTTGATATTTTTGTTAAGTCATTATAGGAAGTACATCAATGATTTTAATGAACCTTAGCACTATTATACATGTATTCAGAAAAAAATTAACGACAAAATGTTACATGTAACTTACATGCCCAACTTTTACATATAGATTGTAACATCAACATTAATGTATTTTGTGAATTCTAAAAGGATTTTGATATGAAAGTTTTTATTATAATCCCGCCCTCAAGCATTACAAAAGGTGAAGGATATTTTGCGTTTGTGTGTTGTTTTGGTTTCAAAATGGCGTAAAGAGCTGCCAAAATTATCAAGATTTTATGGTAAACTCTTTTCGTCTGAATGATTTTACTTTTTTTTAATTTTCAATCTATTAAACTCAAACACACATTAAAATAAAAAATTGTATCTTTTTTTTTTTAGCAAAATGACGATCCCTGAAAATCAAAGGTGAGGGATCATACTTCCGCATAAAGATGCAGCTGTGACCAGGTGTTGGATGTTTTTTTTTAATTTCTTGTTGTTGTATCACAACCCTGCTCGCCATTGTAGGAAAAGCTTCTCTACTGTCTCTTTCAGCATCGTCTTGATTTCCTCGTTGAAAATGTCCGTTTCCCGTCTCCTTTTCCTAGGCTGTGGCACCGTAGACTACAAATGATGGAATAACTTCCAGATGCACTTTCCGTATCCTATTTAAAGATCAGACAGTCTTTCTCAATATCAATTAGGATACACTGTTTTGATTAATGCTGCCACCTAGCGATGAAGTAAGCAATAAATAACTGCTGCCACCTAGTGGTGTTTAATGGTCAATAACAAATTAAGATTGTCAAAAATGCTTTTATTTATACAAATGAAAATGGATTGGTCCTTAAAGAAACCAAAAATGGCAACATCATTGAACAGAGCATCATTATGTTTTATACATCTTGAGCATGCAAAGAAATACCAAATCAAAAAAACTGAAATTTTTAACACACCACTGGGATGGGATTCGGCTCCATGTATCTTGGTCCAAAGTGTTCTAAAGAACGCATACTTTGAAAGGTTAAAATTTAATTTAGACAGATATTTTTCGTCCGCGTATTCTTACTTTGGAATTGAAGGCATGGCCAACTATGTTTTTTTTTTCTTTGATATTTCCCATTTGCATTGAATGAAAATTTGTGTGTATTCTGTTAATTTTCATAAAAATTCTATATTTATCAACTTTCTATTTGTATTCCATTTCCTGTATTGTATATATTTTTCCTTTGTATTGTTTAATTTTAACTTACTGCATCGCATAATTTTCTTTCCTAAAAATTCCATTTGTATTTCTAAATTTTGAAATGCTTTTTTCGCATTTTGTATATTATCATAACAAAAATTGCATAAAAATAAATATATAACAGAAATTTGTGTGAAAGAGAAACGAGAGGACATTCACTTCCTAGTATCATAACAAGAACTGCTTAAAAATAGAAACAAATTAGTGTGTAAGAGAAACGAGAGGACACGAGGGGATCGATATTTCCTAGTATCAGATAAAAATAGTCAAAGATGCTGAGTGAACCTATCACCTGAGAAATGCGGTGAGAGTGGTTGCATGAGGGTGATGAAACTTGATTTCCTCAGGTCATTTTTGATCATAGGGAAAGGAACAGCCAATCCTACGTAACAGGCGAAAGGTCAACCGTTTGAATAAATTATCAACAAAATGATAAAAAGTTAAGATTTTGCAAGAAGTTTAATATAAATCTTAAACGATATTTCATAAGTCAAAAGGATAAAGAGGTACAGAAATGCAAGTAAAAATTCAAGTCGCAAATTGATGTTTGTAGTTGAAAATTTTGATAAAAAAACAAATATGGTCAGGGCGGAGGTCTTACACAGGAGTAGTATAAATGCGACGGGGAAAGGTTTCTCGTCAGAGAAATTCCGACGAGTTGTCTTCTCTGTTGTATTTATACAGGTAAGAAATGTTTACAAGCTTTTGTAAATAATTTTAATAAAAGCTAAGTTTCAGATTGTTAAGCTTCAGTTGGCTCATTTTCTTTACAGGAAAAGATATTTTATAATGTTTAATATTTCTTGTACTATTTTTTGTGTTGAATGAAGTACTAGTTGTTTAAAATATAAAATGGATTGTAAAAATAAAAAGAAATTCCGACGAGTTGTCTTCTCTGTTGTATTTATACAGGCAAACCAGTTTCCAAGAGGGGTGAAATAAGAGCTTTCGTAAATAATTGGTCACTGGTTAACAGAGGAGTAAAAGAGTTGTTCAGTTGGTTAACCTCTCACTGCGGAATTTAATAAGATCCTGGTGGATAACAAACATATGCATGATCGGCCCAATGTCATTCGGGACTCTGCCTTCCTAAACCTTTGCTGGTTGGGAAATAGCAAAAATTAAGGCTGGAGTCCAGAATGAGGTTGACCCGGTTATGATAAGTGGCTGGAGAATCCTCTTAACTTGACCGCTTTATGGAGAAAAAAGACAAACCTGAAACGCCATTGGAACGGTTACAACGAGTAGTGGGACAGGTACCTTCTTTTCCTCCAAAAGCCTTTATACAGCCTGACCTTGAGGATACAGAAATAAGTTTTAATCCTCACACATATCAGCCAGACTTAATTTCATCTAAAAGCCAACCTAACAAATCAAACCAAGACTCGTTTTCGGAGGAGGACGATTTACTGAACATCTCACCCCCATTCTTGGTGGACAGCGGTTCTGTGGCCGGATTTCCAACAATTCCAGTGCCATCCGCTCCTACAATTCCAACGCCATCTGCTCTAAGGGATTCGGAGGACTCTCCTGACGAGGATTTACGTGGTTTGAGATCCGCTCCAACAGTTCCAGTGCCATCCGCTCTAAGGGATTGGGAGGACTCTACTGACAAGGATTTACGTGGTTTGAGAGGAGCCCCATCTTTTCACGGAAATTGGAAAAAGACGAAAGACGAACACTCTCACAATAGAATTTCCAATACCACCCCCAAGACGATTCCGGCCCCGGAATTTGAGGAACACAGCCAGGGAGACAAAGACAGAAAACCTAACGAACCCTAATGAAGCAAAATTTAACTGAATCTGTTGGAGATTATTTGACAAGAATAATTAAGACAGCATCTATTAAGAATGTTCCTGAAAATGTTTTGTTATCGGTGGCAATGGTTTAAGAAATGAAATTAAAACCTATGTTGTAACTCAAAATCCAAAAACAATGGAAAAATTACGACAAATCGCTCTGTTGGCAGAGAAATCGCAACCTTCTCAAGTTAGTACTTTAGAAACTTATGAGAATCTGTTATCAGAGATTAAACAAATTAAAGACGAAATTACAACTCAAAAATCGTGTTTAGGTATATATTTTCTCATAGTTGTAGAATACATATTGAAAATCGTGAATTATAACGGAAAATTATAGAATATAAATGCAAAAATATAAAAATGCACGGCGAGACAGGAAATGCATTTATAGCATAGGATGATGCGTCTATGTAGTCGTATGAACGTAATTGGTGAGTTTGGGTTAAATGGGAGAAAACAGTGAATATGCAAAGATAAAGATATGAATGATCAACACAATGCTACAGTCGTTAGCTTACTTTGATTTATTCCTGAATGTTTAAAGAATTTAGAGAATTTATCTCTTATGTATCAATGGTTTTGTACAAATACCATTAGTTAAATCAGATGGTACAAGAAACAACCTTTAAAGAGATTTAAATATTTAGAAAATTCTTCTATAAATATTTTCGATGTATTTTGATAAGTCGAAAAAGGAAGTAAATAGCTTGTTAATAAAACGTTCCATATACAGGAAGGATTAAACTAAAAATATTATTTGATATGCAGATTTATTATATTGGAAGTACTGTACATATAAGTATTGTTCATACATTTTAACATGTTCAAAAGACAGCGGAGTTAAAGATTGTGTTGTTTTCTTGTTCGTAGCATCAAAGATGACATTTAGAATTTTAGCACTTATTTGTCATATGATCTACTTTCATGAAGGAAACGACATGGACATTTGCCGAAATCAGTAAGATATTTTTTTTATTTTCAATTTATTTAAAAATTGAAATGTGTTTCATGACAGGAAATTGTAAACTAGTACTATTTTAGGCTCAACGTCAATAGATCAGGAGAATGCTGTTATAATTCTTACAGGGATGGGAATAACTGTAAAGGTTGTATGCAATACTTGATTTAACTATTTAGAAAACAAAAAGTATTAAATCTTGATTATTTTGTGTATGAAGTAAATAAAAAATAAGCAACGTATATAACGCAATTATAGTAAAAACAGACTGTTCTTACACACTAGAAAAGTTATGAAGTTCCTGAAGTAATATATTAACATACTTTTCAGAATGTCCACCCGGATACTTCGGATTTAATCGTTCTCAAATTTGTCCTGAACAAACTTATGGAACCTTATGTAGTCAGCATTGCAGTAACTGTAAAATCTGTAATCATGTATATGGTTGTACATTAACAACAGGTAATCTTATCAAATTTTGAAATTTTTCAATACCAATACATTTACAGGAACGAAATAAAGTGAAATATTAAGATATTTATTTAGAAATGATAAAGTACTTGTGTCGTACATTTTTAATAAATATTGTTTCGTTTTATTAGAGCACATTAAATCAGGTGTCTCTAGAAAAAGAAGTTCTAGCACTAGACCTGCAACTGCGATCATGGCGTCCATGTCATCGAAAAATTCATCAGATATGTTTGAAATTGAAAGCTCCAATTTGATATATTTAAACACTAACAAGACTCTTACTAAGTCTAACCTTGCAATAATTATCTATACAACCGGATCATTTATATCTTTTATAATTCTACTGATAATTGTAAGAGAAATTCGCAACTTTTGCAAGATACTATTTCCTCCCGCAAATAAAAACGTGATACAAAATATTGATGTCGTAGACAACATATATTCAGAAGTTTCTGACGTCATTGATTGTGTCATTTCACGTAGAGATATTGCCTCATCTATGGTAAACGTAAATAGTAATGATCGGGATGAAGTTTCCGGAATCTTCGAGGTGGACCGTACAGACTGTATTGATAGCACTGTGTGTAGAGAGACGGAAGAGACTGACGAACCAAAATTATCTTTACAAACATCAAGGTATGAGACGAGCAATAACTTAGGTTGTTGTACTATTAAGGATAAAATAACATTTATAAATAATTGCCCTGATCAACAAAATGAAAATGTTCACCAAGTCTCCTCAAAGGAAAACAAGGAAGAAATCTTTTCTCTAGAGACTCTGTAGAGCTCCACAGAATTTAACGGAAGAGAGACAGTTGAAGACATGAGCGACACCAGTCACAATACTAATGTTGCTTTTGCCCAATTTGCCCAGTTTGCCATGGTAAATGAAATAACAGAAACAACATCCTTTTAATGTTAAATTTTCCCAATCTATTGGCATGTCATTAAATCTCTAGCTGAAATGAATTTATTATGTCATTTTAACCTCTTTTATTAATCTCTGCGAGTAGAGGGATGAAATTTCATGTCTAACGCGAGAACTCTAAATTTATATACTCTATTTTATATTTCAATTTTTTGGTAATGACATTTTCAAATATATGACTTTTAAATAAAAAAAGTGAAGATCATAAACATGCTGAAATAAACTTTCAGTTCTTATTAATATAAGTCACAGTGTGCAGCTATTTTATAAATTTTATGAATATTCTTCTTAATATTATACATTATTTATTTTAAATTAAATAAGATATGCCCTTGCGCCGACGTTGTTTTGCTGATGTGTTTTATTCAATTGAATGGGAGAGAACAATGACTTCATAATATGGCGTCACAATGTGCACTTGGATAAATATACTGTGGGTATTTAGTATATATATAAGAAAATCAATTTAAACTTTCTCTGTACATAAAATATACAACTTACAGGTATGAATTTTAATTAGCTCAATTGCATAGAAAGGTCCATATTTAGCCTTAACGCACTTGCGAAAGACCACCTTTAAGCAATTGTTTACCTTCAAAATTTTTACCCCCAAACATTTGACACTAAGCAAGGTTCAAGCTACCTAGTTTATATAATGCTTAGTAACTGGATTCCATAGATGTCGTTATCGATATTTCTCATATCCTATGTCATGTTAATACTATCTTTATAGATATCAACACGACTACGTTCAGATCTTTAATGCAAGTTGCAACAATTAAAACAGTTTTAAAAAGTATTGATTTACGTTTTTGATGGAGCTTGTCAGTCTTGTCCGTCAGCATATTTCGATTGCAAATTGAATAGTATGTGTTTGTTTGCTTGCTGTTGTCAAGTTATCTAATTTATGGATGTTCAAAGAAATCATAGTGTCATTTTTTGGTATTAGTGGCGTTGATTAAATATACTGTAAATAACTTGTTGTTTTCGAGAACTATATTTTCGCGTTATTACGCGAGACGTATGCTCGAGAAAATTTCATTCACGCGTTTAATGGATTGTCTTAAGATTATATAGAGCAATGACCACAATTTGTGAAAATTTTGTCTCACTAATAAAGAGTCAATGACTCTCTCGCAAAAATGAGGTGTCGCGAAAATAAAGTGATAAAACGCGAAACAACTTCTTCAGAAATATTTCATAATTTTGTAAAAAAAAAAAAAAAAAAAAAAAAAAAACAATGAAAATTATGTCTATATTTATCCTGACAAGTGGTTTGTTTGTTGTTTAACGTCCCCTCGAGATTTTAAATCATGATATGGAGACACCACCACTTGCATTTCCCGATTGAAAGCTGCAAACTTAGTTCTACATGTATACTCGGCACCTACGGCGGTTCAGCAGTGGGGGTCTTTTTGGTACGTACTGCGACGATCGGTTTGCATGTCTCACAGTCGAATTCGAACCAACGACTAAAAAGATAAACTCGCAATTCTATTGCAGACAATTTAACCAATGAACCACGTGGGTGACGACACGTCGTAAAAGGAAGTTAATCATTAATTTATATATAACCTTTTATCCTTTATGTGAAGGAAATTTTACTATAAAAAGTTGATTGGCATGTAAACATTAATCATTGGATGTTACAGTTGTTCGTGCTGTTTAAGATCAAGAATGTTTAAATATTTTACCGTTGCTTGTCATATGATCTTTTCCTGCTCACTAAGAAATGGAATACAAAGTTGTCAAACTTCGTAAGTTATTTACAACTATTTTTCAATATATTCTATAATTGAAAATAATTGTTTCGTAAAAAGAGATTATAGACAAAGAATATTTTTAGGCTGAAAGACAGTGAATCAAAATCGTGCTGTATTAACTTTTACTCGGATGGGGGTGTCTGTAAAGGTTGTATGCAATACTTCATTTACTCGAAAAATAATAAAATTTTGGCAAGAAATAAAAATATGCAACTTATGTTACGATTTTATAGTAAAAATTGATAAAATGTTCAAAACAATGTTTGAAAACAATAAAGATCCTAAAATGAAAAGGCAGTTTACTTTTCAGAATGTCCACCAGGATACTTCGGATTTAATTGTTCTCAAATTTGTCCTGAACTATATTATGGACCCTTATGTAATCTGAAATGCAGTAACTGTACAAACTGTAACCATGTTTATGGTTGTATATTTACAATATCAACAGGTAAGCACATCAAAAATTTTAAATTTTTCATTGAAAATCTTATGCAACTACTTAATAAGGTGAATTTTTGATACATTTACGAGGATCATTGAAAACATACGTAGACTATGTTTCTCTGCGTCATATAATTATTGAGAGATTACGGATCAACACATTTTCGCAAAAGAAAACATTTATTTTGGCGAAGTTTAAAGTTTCATTCTATTTGATTAGATAGAACTCATGTTTGCCGGTTTTTAAAGCAGAATGTTTTGCTACCACGGAGCACAGTTAACCAACATTGTGAAGTCAAAAACAACTTTGAGATAGTATCTCAAAATTATTCGGCTTTTTAATTTCATACACGGTTTGTAGCGTCATCTCCATTCATGTGCAAATAGCAGACCTTTCATCGCCCGATTCATATTTGCTACCACTCAAAAATTGCATTTTCCATTTTATACAAACACATGGCTTATTTTCATACATTTTCTGGATTATTCAGATTTTTAAAAAGTTTTATAGAGATGTTTCTCGAATGCAAAGCAAAATTTTGTTGCTACTTCTCGCTGCTCCGTGACGTCCTAAAACGTAATTTTTTGGCCCTTCTTAATCAAGTCCATATGTGTTTGGAAACTTATTTTTTTTAAAAGGAGCGATATATTACATTATCTGATTTAAGTAAGAAAGCAAAACTCAATTTAATCAAGTAAATTTTATCTTGATTCAGCTCCATTAATACGTAAGAGGTATGGCTATTGATAATATAAAGTGAAAATTAGATAATTACTCAATTTTGACGTTGCTCCGTGACCCAATTTTTGATGTTCTCAATCTTTGATAATTGTTATAAATATGAAGATATATTTCAATTATTTTACTCATATTATTCGAATTTGTTGTGAAAATATGTGTATTAAATTTGGATATAATACGACGTTTAATAAAATAGTTGGGAAAAAAGTTTACGAACTTTTTGAAGGACCCTTGTATTAAGAAAGTACAATACTTATGACGTACATTTTTGATACACACTGTTTCATATAATTAGAGTCTATTAGATCAGATGTCTCCAGAAAAGGGGGTTCTAGCACTAGACCTGCAACTGCTTGCATGTCGACCATGCCATCAGTCAATACATCATCAGATATCGCTGAAAATCATTCATTCATTCCATCATAGTATCGATAGGTGGTAACACGACTGAAAATGAAAGTTCTAGTCTAGTATCTTTAAATGGTCTTCTTAAATTTAATATTGCAATAATCATCTATACAAGCGGATCTCTTATACATGAATCTTTTGTTACTCTGCTAATAATTATGAGAGAAATACACAATTAAAAACAAGCCACACTACAGTGGGTTCGTAGAAAACATATATTTTTAATTTCTGAAGTCATTGATGACAGCATTTCACGTGAAGAAATTGCCCCATTTATGTTATATGTAAATAGTAATGACCAAGATCGATCTTCTGAAAACTCAGACGTTGATTGTATAGACTGTATTTATAGCACTGTATTTAGAGAGAAGGAAGAGACTGGCGAACCAACATTATCTTTACAAAGATCTAGGTTTTGAGGCCAGCAATATTTAAGGCCTATGTTCTAATAAGGAAAAAATAACGTTCATAAATGATTGTTCTGACAAAATGAAATTACTTTTTATCAAACCTCCGCAAAGGAAAACAAGAAGAAATCTTCTCATCAGAGTCTTTGGAGAGCTCTACAGAATTCAACGGATAGATGGAGATAGCTATAAGCGAACCAAGCCAGGATACTAGTCCATTTTGTATTTGTAAATGAAACAACATGACAACACCTCTTTGATGTAATTTTCTTTTGGTAAAAAATAGTATGTTGTTATTTCTACCAGATGTATAATTGTTTGAGTATGGTAAAATAAATTTCTCTATAATTTGAATCAAGATGCATTTGAACATTGCAACAAAACAACCAAGATTATCTACATTCTTAAAAAGCTTTAATTTTTCTCAATTGGTAATAAAACAGCTTAAGAAAATCATAAAAGTTTAAGGAAAAATCATCAGAAAAACCTTTTTTCCTTATTTCGTCATGTGACTGAAATATACGATTTGAAAGACTGCTTAGTCCAAATCTTATACAGAAGAAATCTATTTTTGTTAAATACACAACACAGTAAAAACGTACAACATATGAGCCGTTCCAAGCAAAAACCCCCCTTATAGCAAAAATTTTCGAAAATGACTTTTTTCTTGAAAAATGATGTAGAACCTTAGGTGAATATAACCTGTAAATATTACAGGTGTATCTTGCTCTGTTACGGATTTACAGGTGATCAAAGTATGCAACATTTATACGGCTGACGTCATATTTTATAAATTTTCTATTGTAGCAACGTCGACGTTATATATGGCAACATAATAAAAACACGAATTACTTATACGCAATAACTTAGTATTGTTGTGTTGCCGTTCTGACTAAAATAATATATGCTTAATGTCTTGTAAACATTTTTCTCTTTTTATAAAAAAGTTCAGTTCATTCTTTTCTGATATTAATTATTTAGAAATATGTCAGTGGAGTTCAAATAGTCCTATGATTTGGTGAATTCATCACACATAATTGATAGGTATTTTATTAACAAAAATTCACTTTCAATTTTACCGCTTAAATTCAGCCC